ACCATCTTTGATTGACTTTCTTTCACATTTTCCATGACAGGAAAGCAAATGAGGCGTGCTCAGAGTAAGAGTGCCTCAAGTGAAGGAATCACTATGTGTTCGGCCTTAAGAAGCAACATACATATCTACACCATACTTTTTTAGATCTAAACTAATTATCTGCAGGATCCGACTATTAATTCCGTTCGCACCGGTTTGTTATGATGTGTAGGAACGGTATTTCCGTTGACAGATAGCCGCCTTCAACAGAAAAAGATTGAATTTTTGCTCATAGCTATTAGGAACCTGAGGAGCTCAGTCTGCTGCTGGAATTAAGGTATTTCTATGTTTATAAAATCATGAACGGCCTTGATCACCGGCATTATTTATTTTTCAATACACTTTGGTTAACGCTTTTGTATAGGCAGGCGATGTTGACACACAAATAGCTACAAAGGCATTCAGGCCAGGTAGAGAAACCTCTGGCAGATATGAAGCTCTCATTAGTTACCTTGTTTTTCATAGGCTAAAAACAGCAGTTGCTTTGATCAGTAAACAGTGTGCTGAAAATAATGGAAGTGGGTCACATATAAACCTCTAGACATTTTGTCAACGTTTGCAAATGGATGTGTAAGGTGAATTGGTACTATATCGCTAAAGTTATTACCAGAATACAGACTTTTGGGATATGAAAAGTAATATAATTTTAAAGATCATATTATTGTTTATCAAGCAATACTTAGATACAGCTTCGACTATGCAGTTCATACTTGATGTGGTTCAAGGGGTGCTGTCTAACTAATCGGGAATGTTCTGACTATACCATACATGACCCTTTTTCCAAAAAAATGCTAGGCTGTAAGTTTTTGGAGCGTTCGGATATTCAATAGACGTATAGTATCTACAGTCTGAGACCTCTATCTTTTGTACTGGTATGCCAACGAGTTTTATTCACTGAGTCCTCCTTCATGATGCCTCCGCATTTTGTGCCTGCCAGACGGACACGTGAGACTTCTGCTTTTCATTCGAGCCCGAGCAAGCTCTGTACATGAAGGACTTTCCGGTACGACTGCCTCTTTGTCTCCAGTGAAGCGAGAATGTTGATCAATACACCAGAAGACACTTTGTTTTCATGGCTACTTCAGTATATGTAGTATTAAAACGTAAATCATTTCATGATTTTAACCACTGAATGGAGCTTGTCCTTTTCGGATTACTGATATATTTTAGCCATAGTTCGATGTTAAAAAAGCATGTAGAAGCTACACAGAAATGGAGATAAATATCTTTTAGAATACCTGCAACTGACTTCAAATACTTTGAGGGCGTTAAACATATTTTTCTGTGTAAGCATAACTTCGTGAAAGTTTCACTGTATCATTAAACTTTACGAAAAATACAAAGATGGTGCGTAAGAGCCGCTCACTTCGGCTGGTCGGAGTTCAGACGAACGAGGACTTGACCTGACACGAATACATCTCGTCAATAGCGGCAGCTGCTGGAAAAAAGCTAGGCTGTTTGTTAAGGGCTAAGAAGTCCTTTTCTTCACATGGCCTCTCCACTCTCTACGAGGCCCAGGTAAGAAATAGCCTTACATGATTGCGGTGCTGCCGCCCCGACTACATTATTCAAGATTGATGCAGTTCAGAGTAGGGCTCTTCTAAAGATCGACTGTGGCTTCCCGACCTGACCGTATCAAACTTCGAACTTTCAGAACTGGTCAATATGACCGCAACTTTGTCTCTAGAGTATTAAGATTGTGGAACGGATGGATGGATGCTTATTCCAGTTCTACCAACCTTAGGAAGTTCAAAAATTGGATTAACAAACTTTCTTTAAGCTCCTTACTTAGGCTTCGCGGCGGCTTATACAAAAATAAATGCTTTGTAAGTTTAAATTTTTATTCGGCGTGAAGGGAGAAAATAGCAATCCTTTTTATCCAATAGTTCTGTAATATATCGTGCACGTAAAGACCCACACCCTTTGCTGTTGGCACTCTGTATGATGAACATTTAAAAAATGCCTCTATGGATGAGAACAAGATAATGTTAACCATGAAAATGCATTCATATACTGCTGTAATTGTGCTATGCATCCTGTTCGTATAATAACAATAATATAATTGGAGACGAAGAATGAGTTTTTTATGATGGAGTTGTACATGATGAAAATTGCGGCATGTACCCCAGAGGTTTCAACAAACAATGCCGGAGCCCAATTTGGTCTCGCGGTGTATGTAGATGGTGAGGTTATAAAGGCGTCCTTTCAGTTATTTTAGCAGGATGAAGCAAGCATACGTATTCTGCTTTGTATAAATTGTTTTGCAGAAAAAGCGGCCAGATAGACGTATTGGAGGCAACGCCCAACCATAAACTTCTATAGCTACAAACAAATAAATTGCAAAGCTATGGATGGGAAATGATACAAAACGAATCATATTCTCCAGATCTAGCATCATCCGGTTTGCTCATTTTCCGATCTTTGTGAGACGAGCTTGATGTATAAAAATTCGAGTAACTGATGGTCTTCAGAATCACCTCTCTGAACTTTTTGAACAAAAGTCCGCGGACATCTACGCAAGGAGCATAATTACTTAAACAAACCGTTGTAAGGTGGCCAATATATTAAATACCCAAACACCCAGAAAACTTGACAACTACACATTTTTTTAAAAAACAGTTCAAAGATAAGTTTCACGATATCTAAAAAGCAATTTGTCGACGACCTCAAAGATGTCATAGACAATGACCTTAGAGGCGATTTGGAGGTCAAGCTTGTAAATTCAAATAGCAACCACTATGTTTTGATAATTGATAATCCACATCAGAGTGAATTTTCATGAATGAGGTCAAGCGGTCATATTAAGTGTTTCAATCAGTATGACTTATTGTGATGTCTGAAAATTACACGAATACCCCAAAAGCTTTACAACCACGAATTTATCGGAAAAAGTGTTATAAGAAAGGTTTTAGTATATTTTGTAAGTGACCTAGGCATTGACCTTAGAGGTCATTTGGAGGTCAAGTTTGTAATTTCAAATAGCAACCAACATTTTTGACAACAGATCCGTGTCGAGTTCGATATTTTACACCAGAGTGCAGGAGTGTGGATACATAAGGTCAAGCAGTCATAAATAGTTCAGTCAGTATGACCTACTCTAGCATCTGTGGCCATTCTCTAGGCCATATTTAAGGTGCATTGACAAAATTGCTTTTCAGACATCCTAAAGTCTTCATCGGATACTTCTTTTCAAAAAACTCATGGTTGCCTAGATTTCGATGTGTACTTCTCACACGACACAGTACTTCATACTGATCAAACCACTTATGACCTTTTTGGCCGTATATATGAACATGCACTCTGATGTAGAATCTCCAACTCGACACGAATCTGCCGCCGAAATAGTGGTAGATACTTGAATTTACAAACTTGACCTCATTGCCTCAGGTCATACTTGATGTCATCGACTAATTGCTTTCTTTGATATCGTGGAACTTTTCCTAAGACCCAAAAATGCATGGTTGCCAAATTTTACGGGCGCTCGGGTACATTGAAGTTTGATATTTTTTCCCCAATCCATCGTCTAATTTTACAAGCGATGTTGCTAAGCTTGACCAACATGGATTTAGAAAAGGAAAATCTACTACAGATGCAATTTTGGCTGCAATGGATGAAATTAACTCTAATATCAACAAAAAGTTACCTACTTTTGGTATCTTTGTTGATCTAAAAAATGCCTTTTATACGGTTAAACATGTCGAGCTTCTGAAAGTTGTGGAAAGATTGGGATTTAGGGGAGCGTCACAAATCCTTTTAAAAAATTACCTTTCAAGTCGGGCACAGACTGTCAAAATCACTAACACTTACAGTAAAAAAATGTACATCAAGTGTGGTGTGCCTCAAGGAACAGTACTAGGGCCACTATTATTTAGTCTCTACTTAAATGACTTATTCAAAATTAACAGTTCTAGAAAGATTATATGTTTTGCAGATGACACCCTAGTATTATATAAAGCTGATGACTGGAGCACACTGAAGCAAATAGCTGAAAAGGATTTTATAAGGATCATTGTTTGGTTTGATACTAAAATTTTAACAGTTAACTTCAAAAAAACAAAATTTATTGCATTTACATCCTATTCAAAATTTTTACCTACCTTCGAAAAATTTCCGTTAATTATCATGGCCAAAAGACCAAAATCGATAGAGTTAACACTTTGAAATATCTTGGAATATTTATAGACTCACATCTAAGGTGGGATAACCATATTAAATATGTTATCAAAAAAATTAGAAATGTTGCCTATAAACTCAAAATGCTTGCTTACATTCTTACAGAAAGTTATCTGCGAATCCTATACCATGCCTTAGTTGAAACCCATATAATATACGGCATCACAGCCTGGGGTGCCGCCTGCAAGACATATATTTCTGACCTGAATATAGCACAAAAAACTGTTTTGAAAGCCTTTTTTCATAAGCCAAGATTATATCCAACGAACAACTTATATCAAGAAACAGGGATACTTGATACAAGACAACTTTATTTCTTACATGCCACCACCTTATACCATAAGTATTGTAAAAAAAGAAAAAATCCTATAAACACGAGCATAACACACGATTTCGAATAGGCTCATCTAATATCCAAAGACCACACAAAACATTATTCAAAAAATCATTTAAATTCTTAGCAGCTAAATTATATAATGTAGTACCAAACGAAATAAAGATACTTAATTTTGGAAAAAAATTTAGAAGAAAATTGAAAGACTGGGTTAGTAATGTGCAGCGAACGACTATACATAATTATATAGAAAACTAAAACTACAAAATTCCAATTACATTAATACCTTTTAGATTTAACAATAATTGTTATACACATATATGATTGATTGTTAGTTATTAAGATATAAACCACACACAATGGTTTTTTCATATTTATTTGCCCATTTTTTGTACTTTGGTGAATAAATATTATTATTATTATTATTGTCATTATTACTAATTTCCTGTTCCAGGCATAATATGAGCCACCGGGCCGCCTTCCTGGGCGGGGGTTGGGCACGCGGCGGCACGTCGGAAGTGGTACGAAGGGCGCATCCGGCTTCCGGCGCCCAGTGGAACGTCCAGGTGGTCAAAGGAAAAGTCAACGGCAAGTGCCTGTGGAACGCCTGCAAGGCTCTCAGCCTGGGACTACTGCTCATGGTATTAGGTGCTGCTATGGCTACCATTGGTATGAGGAATTTTTGGACAAAATACACCGTCTACACTGAGATTTTTTTTAATTATTCCAATTAAAAAATGTAATTAACTATGTGACAGCTAACAAGTTTTATAATTAAACTTTTTATAACAGTTTACTTGAATTTATGAAAATAATTTAATTAAGCCAAAACGTAACAGCTTAATTAAATTTATTGAGTAGTTCTCTTAGATTGATTAAAATTAATAAACTATTAAAATGAGTTTACCTGCTCCAAGTAAAACATGTTAATTATATCTATTAAAATTGTTTAATTAGTCTAGATAAAAGTCTTTGCCTAGTTTTAATTAATTATTTTATAGATTTAAAAGGATATTTGATATTTAAAAGAACAAATTTCATTTTACTGAATCAAAAAAATTTGGAAAACTTGATGTTGCTGAATGAAGTTTTGGAATCAAAATAAAAACTTAATTTTTTTATTTTGATTCCAAAACTTCATTCAGCAACATCAAGTTTTGTCAACTATTTGTTTGCTTGTTTGTCTAGAAACAGGTTATATCATCATTTACTAGAAGCAGTTCTTTGTTTTAAATTCAGAGCGTAGGGAAAGGGATATCTGAAACCGAATAAAGCCACTTGAGTTTGTATACAAAAATTGTACTTTTATTTCTAATAATAAAACTTGCACTCCCACGTTCCAATATAATCACATAGACAGGGTGTCCGCAAAGTTGAGGTTTTCCTTTACACGACGTCTAGATCTTGAGAAAATAAGCGGATTTTCCTAGTAGCATATACGAGTACTCCAATGTCTTAAGAGAACCGAGATATTGGGCTCCGCAAACTCAATCAAACCTGATCCAAACCGAAGCCGATCCTGTCTCATCCCCTGATCACGTCCACAGCGCCACCGCCAGAGTACAGTTATTCGACGTACGACTACGATGTAAATACGGATTTTACGACAGAGCCGTACTTGGAATTTCAATTCAACTGAACAGTGAGTACTTTTTCATTCATTTTTTTTAACTTGTTCGCTCACGGTTCACCACACGTTAGCTTTGTTATATCTAGCGAAGTTGTCTGAAAAGGAAAGCCCCAACTTTGCGGACACAGTGTATGAGCAAACTCGACTGCGCGACACCAAACTAGGATATTTTCAAATACTACAAAGTCCACACCGAAAGAAGGCTCCACTTTCTTTGTATACAATAGACTTAAAAATTAAGCACATGTTGACCTAAATATAGCTACATAAATTAAATTTCAAAAATCTCCGCATTCAGCCACGTCAGCAGTGACTCCCTTATATATACTAAGTGACATATAAATCCGAACACCCAGTTTAAATGGTTTTATTTTAATAAAATTTTGTATAAGTACTTAATGAAGCATAATAAGTAAATGATAAAAATTTCAAAATGATTGCACTGCTTTAAAGCCCTTTGACCTTTAATAATGTGTGGATGCACCCTGATGTGCTACGCATTCTCCAACGCGCCTAGGCATGCTTCTGATCAGGTGGTCAATGTCCTCCTGTGGTATCTCATTCCAGGCAACCACCAACTCCTCCCGAAGTGCTTCTAGAGTCTGAGGAGGACGTTGCAAATTGAGCAATCTCCTACCCATCATATCCCACCCGTGCTCAATTGGGGATAAGTCGGAAGATCTTGGTGGCCATGGTAACAATGTGACATCATTATGTTGAAAGAAGTCTATTGTGACTCTTGCAACATGTGGTCGGGCATTATGTTGTTGGAAAGTTGGATCTGCCAGGGTGTCAAGATAGGGTAAGAGATGGGGTTCTAGAACTTCGTGGATATAACGCTGCGCGTTCGTGTTACCTCTGATGAAGATTAAAGGTGACCTGGAACCATAAGCTATAGCACCCCAAACCATAACTCCAACAGTGTGATGAACATGTCTTTCAACAAAAAACTGCGGATTCCTCCTTTCACCACGTCGCCTTCTAACCCTGGCACGACCATCGTGCATGCCTAAACAAAATCGAGACTCGTCACTAAAGACAATACTGTTCCATTCCTGATCACAGAGTGACCGTTGTCTGCACCATTCAAGGCGATTACGTCGGTGTTCTCGAGTTAAAGGGAGGACCCAGTGTGGCCGGTATGAAAACAAGCCAAAACTTCTCATTCGTCGGTAAACACTTCGCATGCCAATAGGTCTTCCGTGTTCTGCAAACCATTAATTTGCAATGGACCTGGTAGTGGAGAAACGATCCCTTAAGGCCAATAATCTTAGGCGGCGATCTTCATGGTCTGTTGTTCTACGGCGGCGTCCAGTGCCCCTTGCTCTTTGCGTACGGCCTTCTCGAAGCCATGCCTGACAACACCTAACCACAGTGTCTACACTTATTTGCACTCTAACTGCAATTGTCCGAAAAGAAAGTCCAGCTTCCCGAAGTCCCACTATACGGCCCCTATCAAACTCACTAAGTTGACGAAATCGTACAGGTCTCCGTACTCTAGGCATCGTAACCGATCGTAAAGTATGTCAAGAACCAAAATCCGCCAACGTTTATTCTTTACTGCGGCTGAAACATTCATTTTTGGAGCGTTATTAAAAAAAAGCGTGAATTAAAAAAAAGCAGTATAAAAACCGGAATGTCCAACTGATAAGGCTGAAAATTTTTTCACTTGTTACTTACAGTAAAATAAATACATTCACCAACTTTTATTAAAATAAAACCATTTAAACTGGGTGTTCGGATTTATATGTCACTTAGTATATTTGGGGGCGAGAAATATTCTAACCATGATTATAGGTCACTAAGCGCCTTATGCTCGAGTATTCCACTTGATCACAGAAATAAATCCATTTCACAGCTGCTACACCGACAACTGCAGCTTTCGAATATGATGCTCTTCGCGAGAAAATCGCAAATAAAACTCAGGAGTTCGAAGCGCGTCACCGGCACTGCGTCTGAGACATACTTTCGATCATTCAGGAATGAAGGGCCGATTCCTGCCAAGTCCGCGATTCAAATAAACAGATTAATTGCTTCTATTAAAATGTTTAATTGTTTTAAATGTACCTTTTCTACATAAACTGCATTACCTAAATTAATTAAATAGTTTATAAAACAAATACACGGTTTGCTGTTTCCAAGAAAATTAGTTTAATAGTATATTATTTTCAAATAAACTGGTTCCAGAAAATTTTGTTCAATTAATTCAATTTAACCGGTTAAGTTAGGTACTTATAGTAAATAAGAAATTTATCACGGGTAACGAAAATTTTGCAGAACAACTGTTTAATTGACCACGCTTTTTCAGTGTACGAATCTTTTTATTAATGAATATTAGTAGGGAATAGACTATTCTACCTCTATCCCAGTGGTGCTCAACCTGCTCAGCTTCAGACTCTTAAGTGTAAGCATAGCCTTTCCCAGTATCGCTCATAACCTAGAATCTCCGAACCACGGGGATGCGTGCTCCTAGTTCCATCTCTCCCTTTGGTGAGCAAAATGAAGTGTGGCTGAGGCTGCTACATCCCGAATAGTCGTCAAGCGGCATGGCATTGTCGGCATCTCAGCGTTGCATCTCATATCAAAATTACTATAGTCGCCTTATGAATAATTTAACCAGATATATTAATAATATGCGATGGCTGGACCGTAATAGTTTATTTAAATATTTATTACTTCCTGCAGCACATAACTGTGACCGGAGAACCTTTTTACTTATTCAAAAAGCTCGTAAGCTCGCAAGATGTAATTTACCTTACGGTTTTCACATTTGTTCTCCATGCCCCAACATAGAAAATCATTATTCACTAGGTTTTCACATCGTGTACGTTTCAATGTAGTTTAAAACATCACCTTATATTTATTCCTCAACGCTTTTATTGTTATTATACTAACTTTTTACTAATCTAAATTCGTGTGACTAATACTATTTGAGGCTTAGGTGACAGAACAGCCGTGACTAAACTTTGCCCATTTATAACTTATTGTTAGTTATAAATAAAGACGTTTATTATTAAACAGGTTGTCCCACGTAGAACTGCAGCGATCGATTACTCGAAAACTTCAGACAATTATGAAAACTTGGGGTTATGGTACAACTGATATGAGGAATTCGACTAAAATATTTTCAAAATGGTGACACTTCTGGTTGCACCGGAGGCAGATACTGAGTTGCTTTTTTGAATAGAACACCCTGAATATTATTGAATTTTTAAAATCTTCTCAAGATTCTAAATGTATTCCATGTTCTACAAATGCAGGTCAATAAAAGCTCATTAATTTTACGGGTATGTACTTGTACATGAAAACCAATCGAAGGAGTTTTTCTTTAAGGGATTTCAAGATGAAAATTGTTCAAAGATATGTCTACAATTGTCACCTTTTCATAATATAGGTTGCTCGAAATATTTTTTTTTGTTAGGTTGACCACTTACTTGTGTCGCCACTGATATCACCATCAGGTTAAACAACTTCTTAGAACTCTCATTACTTTTGCACACCTATCAGTATAGCAGTCCATTTTTGAGAAAAAAACATTACATTGAGGAATAATTGATAACAAGAGCTCCATAATGAACAATTATGGATTCTTTCGGAAAGTCAAGGTGATAGGTAAATGTTACGAGACCTATGAAAAGTGTATCTCTAACCGTTTAACTGAATAACTGTGTAAAGCTTATGCAAAACCAGTGACCTGCTGGAAACACCTTCTTAAAAATAGAAGCGTATTTGTGTATAAGCTACATAAGCACGTTCCTCCTTTTTCGAATAAAATACTATATTGAACCCAAAACAGTCTTTTAAGCTCGTTTCTCCATTAGTGACAAAGTTTTGGTTCATTTCAGCCCGCTTAGTGTAATGGACCAGAATCAATTTCCTATTAGTAACTGACAAATTTCCCCTAATGTCTCGGCCCAATATCGTCTAAATTGAATAAGATTTAAAAAAGAATATTTTTATGATCTGTTTACTTACTATAGCTTCTGTAGCTGGCTATATGGTCATATAGTTGACTACAACACCATCTATAAAACACTTTCCTTTACTAAGTAGATTTCTAATTAGTGGTGAGATTAAAAACATAGCTGTGACATCTTCTCGTAGATGAGGATTTTTTGAATGCAGGTTGTTTGGCTATCTGCAGGTAGAATACGTTAATCAATTGTTATAGTAATGGCACTATAAAGCGAACCTACGTTGATGTTTTGGAACATATGACAAACTTGTTTTCCAGATAATTCCATAATTACTTAAGGAGCGACATCTCCAAGTTTAGAAAGATAGAAAATATCTATCATTACGATAAAATATCCTGTTTCCAGGTTACTATGCGGACCACCTCTCAGTTGCTCAAGAAGTTAGAGGAAATCGTACCGTAAAGGTGAAGAATGAATCTCGAGGCTTCCATCTCAACAATTTGTCCTATGCTGGTCCCATTGTCATGGGAGTTGGAGGTAACTTGACTTTTCATAGGAGGATACAATTTATATAAATTGCTCCAAAAATTTCTACAACAGAAATTCCGTCAAATAAATATAGAGCTAGGTATTTTTTACCCGAGAGTAAAATAATGCCAACGCAAACGGACAGACAGAAATAACTGATAATCTAGATGTCGCAAAAAAACCTATAATTGATATTCTAATAGTTTCAGTCATAATCATCATAATATTTCTCTGGGGTTTTATCGGCGGATAATATTTCAGATCATAAATTGATTTACTGCGATCTTAACGTTTCAAAGGAAAGTAAATCACCTAAAATAATAAAACATCGTTCTTTTAACCTGAATAATTTTCTAGCAGATGTGCAAAGTTTGCCGTGGAATAATATATTATATGAGAATAATATTGATAATAAAATTAAAATTAAATAATATAATTTTTACATTGTTTAGTAAGCATGCACGAACAAAGGAATCACTAATAACATATCCAAAAGCGCCTTGGTTAACTAACAATATTAAATTATTTATGAAACAAAGAGATGCAGCAATGCAAAAATTTAAAAAATCAAAGCTTCAATCAGACTGGGTAGATTATAAACATTTAAGAAAATTTACTTTATCGTTGATAAGAAAGAAGAGAAGAAGGAATACATAGAATCTTTTAAAGGTAACTCCAAAAAACTGTGGTCAGTTTTAAAAAGTTTTAATATTTGTTTTACAAAAAATAATGAAATTCCCCAGTCTGTATCAGAACCTAAAGATATTAATAGCTTTTTTGCTACTTTTCTACAAAATAAATCTAACTGTTCGGAAAAAATTCAACTTTATAAAAACAATGCCTTTAAAAATAACTTAAACTTTAACTTTAAATTAGCAAAAATAACAAATATAAACAAAATTTTAAACAACATAAAAAGTAATGCAACCGGGATAGATGATATTTATAATGTTAAAATATTGTAGTCCGTTGAAACAAGCTACTTTCCCGACAAGTGGAAAATCTCTATAGGAAAACCATTACCAAAAATAACTAATACATCAAGTTTTAATGTACTTCGTGTGATAAGTATACTTCCTGCTTTGTCAAAGATATTTGAAAGAGTGTTGTACGAACAAATTTATGACTTTTATATGAGTAACAATATTATTTCTGGTACTCAGTGTGGTTTTCGTAAAAATTTTGGTACATCAGGAGCTCTAACAAATGTACTCGATGACATTTAAGAGCAAACGATTAAAAGATGAGTTCAGTTTTGGTACTTCTAGACTTTTCAAAAGCTTTTGAAACCATTAATCATAAATTGTTGGTAGCTAAACTTCAGTACTATGGCTATAATCAGGAAGCATGTTTGCTTTTAAAATCATATTTGACAGGAAGGTATCAATCGATTCTATCAAATGACACATTTTCAGACAAAGCGGAGATCCTATCGGGAGTTACTCAGGGATCAATATTGGGCCCCTTGTTATTTTTAATTTATACATCTGATATCCTTACGTCTTTAAAGTTTTGTAAAGTTCAGGTCTTCGTGGATGACACCCAGGTTTATTGTTTTTTTGATATTGAGGATTACAAATATTACGATAATTGTATAAATGAGGACACCTTGAACAATCTCTCATTAGTTCACAACTTAAAACTTAATCCGAAAAAATCGCATGTAATGATTTTTGGTAACAAATCTAAGACTGAGTTTTTGAAAGCTAATCTCAATATAATGGCTAATAATTCAAAATTGAATTTTGTTGAAAGTACAAAAAATCTCCGTATAGTTTTAGATTCTCAGCTTAGATTTAAAGATCACCTAAAAAATCTTATGCAAAATCATTTTGTTCTCTAAAAGTTTTATTTAATAACAGACACATACTAAACAGATCACTAAAAAAAAGGTGTGTCTTTCCAATTTGAATTATTGCAATTTTGTCTATGGGTTTTGCTTAGATCAGGCAAGTAGAGGCCGGATTCAGAAGGTGCAAAATGCGTGCCCCGGGTTTATCTATGGTCTGCGTAGGTTTGATCATATATCTCATTTGTATAACGAAATTAAATGGCTTAAAATGAATGAGCATCACACTCTCCATTTTCTAGTTTTTTTTTATTAGAAATTATAAACACTCCAGGTTCACCTGATTCTATACGAGAAATTTTCCGACATTCTGTTCATGATATAAATGTAAGATATTTCAAAAATTAACTATACCGCTTCATAGTAGTGCATTGTTTCAACGATCATTCTCATACAATGCTGTTAAACAATTTAATTTAATTCCCAACCAGTTCCTTAATCTTTCTCTTTCAAGTTTCAAAATACAATATAAGAAATATTGCTAAATACAAATCTGAACAAAATTTTTTAGAATAGAGATTGAAGTTTATAATATAGGTATATAAGTAGAAAAAATATGTGAAGCAAATTTTATAGTAACCAGTAACCAAATTTTATAGTGACCAGTATTAATTAATATCTTTTTGAAATTTTAATTACTTCCATTTAGTGTTAACACCGGATTATTATTATGATTATTCTGTATTGTTGTTTGAAGACTTATTACTATTATTATTATTTTTTTCATTTTGGTTCAGTAGAGTAGCTTTGAGCTAGACTTGCGCCAATATTAGGCAATGTATTCTGTATTTTTTTCTAAATTACCTTTGTAAAAAGATTATTTGTTGTATTCAATAAATTATTACTATTATTATTATTATAATCTAATAGTTTCAGTCATAATCATCATAATATTCCTCTCCCTTATCCCTGAGAAATTAAAGGGCAGGAAACGCTTATATTTGTTGTTTGCCCAACTTAGAGAATCTTAGTTGTAGAAGTCAATAGTCAATACGTAACTATCTTACTCAATGCAACCGTTTTTGCTTTTTCTGTGAAAAATATTTCCTCGAATCTAAGGACCCCCGACAAACGAGTGTTAGAGATCTATGTCAAGTATCGGTTTCAGGGCGTTAGATAGGAAACTACACAAGCAGTGTTGTCATTTACACTTCCTTTGATGCTTGAGTTGTGTTACATTAGTGGCAACATAATTACTAATCCTGTCATTAAACAGCATATAATAATAATAATAATAATAATAATCCGGCTTTATTTATACAAAGTATAAAAAGGCGAAGTGTCGCTAAAAAGCGTTTTTCAACTTAACCCATATAATGCACTCTTTTTAGTATAACATTGAACAGAGTAGTTTCAGTTTCAGGGTGCAACGGTGACATTGCCTGAGGCCTCAGACTTACAGGAGAAAAATAAGGAAAGGGAAAATAAGAAGAGACCACATTGTTTTTTCTTTGAAAACTTGACTTAAAATGAATGAGCATTCTGTTCTCACACTCCTGTTTATTATTTTCAACCTCAACTAGTTTCAAATAAGCGCAAATGACTTGACAATACCCCCTTAAAGTAGGCAACCCACACTACTTGCCCCCCAAGACGTGATCTTGGATCCGCGCCTGACAGCACAAGAGTTTGTCGATTCCTTTTTTATCGCTTTCTAGGTTTCATCGTAGTAGCCGCATGCGTGATGACCTTCGAAGCTCGCGATTCAGCCGCCAAGGTGGTACCTGCCCGTTTCAAAGCCTCCACGATGGGTGCCCCATCCTCCCAGTGTCCGCACGTGCCTCATGGACCGGGAGTTGCTACAGGAAGTAGGCACGGCTCGCTGAAAACGGCAGGATCACAAACTGCAGCTGCGGTCGCGTTGACAGCGCATGCGCATGCGCATTGTAGAGCGGAAGGGGGTCATACGGATCGTAGGGCGCTCACTCAGTCTTTTCTCCACTTTTCGAGGGGGCTTAACGCTATGGAGGCAGGGAAGAGGAAAACGTCTTCACTCAAGGTTCCGCAGGTAGGTTTTTCGGGAAGCGCATCGATCGTGCATTATACAGGATGTCCCAGAATATTTTTTTCAATCTCATAAAAATATCTTAAGGGCCTCTGAAAAACACTATCGATTTTTTCTGCATAACTCCTGGACGATACTGTATGATTCTACATAATAATAATAACCAATTATGATCTTACATTATGGTGTCCCTAGAAAACAGCTAATTGCATCTTTAACCCCCTATAAAATTATGACTCAAAAATGTCTAGTTTCGGTAATGTTTTATCCTATATGATGGTGGCTTCGCTATTCTCAGGATATAGTTACTTTTATATCAGATTTGTTATAAGCAATCATGAAAAACTCCGGAAATATCCCTGAATAAAATTGTAAACATTTATAATAACTAATTGCAGCGCGGAGCGAAATAAATATTATTGAAACTAGACAATTTTCAAACCGGCTCATTTTATAAGCCAAAACGCGCAACGTGTTAGGGTTAGTCCATCCCTTATAGTTACAGTCTAAACTCTTCAAATAATTTCTCGAGGTCATCATCATTTCAAGCCCAGATTTGATGCTGTGCTGTTCAAGGTTTTCTTGTTATATTTATTTATTCGGAGGTTATATTCACTGACATCCTTTTTGAGACCGTATCCCCGTAGATGTGGCCCTTAAGATGTTTGCTATAGGAACTAGTTGCATCATTTCATGCGTTCTGCACGTTTCCAATACGTTATCATACATACTTAGGAACATACCCTATATATTATGTTGGTCATTCTATAAATTACTCAAACGTAAATTATAGTTTCAGGGTGCTATAAACAGGAGTCCATCTGCTCCAGACTTAGTGCTACAGCGATCATCTAGTAACGAGCATTCATCCGCAACACCTTCACCAAGTCTGAATCGCACACCAAACAACAAATCAAGCTCAAAAACGAGAACTTTCGCAGCCTGTGCACTGCTCAACCCCGGCTTACTGCACAGACATGCGTTGTCTGTTGACGAAACAGCTGGTAACTATAGGTACGACCTGTGAAATATTTTAATGGTTTGAGCTGAAAACGGATTCTCAGTACAGTTGAACTATCATTATTACATTGCCTCGTCAGTAATCATATAAACATCTCTAGCTACTGTAAAGCACTTCCGTGTCTAATTAATCCTTTGCTAAGGTGTGGTTGTAAACGTGGGCTACTTTTCAGGTAGCAGTTACAGCTCTAGTAAGTTCATACTAAGAATTTATGTGTTCTGAGTCATTTTCACAAAATCCGCTTTTTTATATGCAGTAGACTATCCAAATTGCAATTATCCGAAACATATCGCATACAATAATTTCTCCGTTTTAACCGGAATTGTTCGGGAAATCGGCGCATGATCCGAAATAGCCGCCGGTAGTTCCCCTTTCGGCGTTTGCGTCGTTAGATTCGCTGCCAGTGATTCCCCAAGCGCGTTCGCGGAATTCACTGGTATGAGTGCGTGTATGTTTGTTTCAGTCAGGTTCATAATCGCTAAGATAGAGCAGCATAGAAATAAACGTAAACGTGTTCTTATAACCATAGAACTTGAGGCAATCAGACGTTTAGGTAAAGGTGATTTTAAAAACATGGCAAGTGATTTGGGTGTGGGCCTGAATGGAAAAAACAACGCGACAAGATTGAAAAGTGGTCTAGTGTTCTGACACCATCGCAGCCGTCACCGAAAACTATGAAAAAGGGGGAATATCAAAAAGTGGATGATGCTTTATAACTGTGGTTTACACAAAATCTAGAACGTGGAATACCAATTTCCTGACCAATTCTAAAGCAAAAGGCAGTCAACTTAAGTGAAGAATTGCCAGTTATTGAATCGCCTGATAACTTGACAGCCAGTGATGGTTTGCTGCAAATTTACAACTGCGACGAAACGGGCCTAAACTATAAAATGTTACCGGCTAAAAGTTTTGTTCCAAACAAGAATCTGCAGCTTCTGGTTACAAACGCAACAAAGAACGTGTGACTATCCTTGCATGTAGCAATGCTTCCGGTACAAACAAACTTCCTTTGTTGTTAACCGGAAAATCAGCTAAACCGAGAGCATTTAAACACGTCCGTCCCAACGCTCTTCCAGTGTGGTATAATAATCAAAAAAATGCCTGGATGGATGCCGCTCTATTTAAGGACTAGTTTTACAATCATTTTGTGCCCATGCAGAACGATATTTGAACGAACGCGGATATCCGAGAAACTGTATTTTGCTATTAGACGATGCTCTGAGCCACCCAAGTGAGAAGCAACTTAAAAGTGGAGAAATACGAGTGATATTTTTGCCTCCTAATGTAACGTCACTGATTCAGCTAATGGATCAAGGAGTGTTAGAAAAACTGATACAGAACTAATAAAAACTGTTTGTAACTATGGCGCTGAGACAGTTTTAAGTGATGCTAGTGACAATGAGACAGAAATCTCTGCCAAAATATCACATTCTGAGGGATTACAAGCTCTACGAAAGGCGTTGACTTACGTCGAACAACTAGAAAATGCGACAGCAGCTGATGTGCTACTTATCAAACGTTGGAGGAATATTGCTGCCAAAAATAGGAACAATGCAAAACGTGCACAGTTAAAAATTACTTCCTTTGTTACTAAAAACTCATAAATATGTATGTTTGTGTCCACATGTTTATATTTTACGTAACTTTATATAGGTATATACTCACTTAACACACGCTTCTACGTTTTTCAATGAAAGCATTATGAGTCTAAATATTTGTTTCCGTTTTATCCGAAATTTCGATTATCCGAAAGCAACTGGGTCCATATTATTTCGGATAATCGGGGCTCTACTGTACTTGTTTTTCCAGATTAAGCAACGAATCATTGCACCCAAGCGGAAGTCAAGAGGGCTCAATGGCGATGGACCTGCACCTTGAGTGTCCCGTAACGTTACGGATAAGGGACAGGCGGAGGCCTTTAAAGAGGCAGAGGAGGGTGGACGAAGATGCGGTACAAGTCAGAGAAGAGGCAAGTCTGAGGCGCAGCTCACACTCCTGTTCGGTGCGGGTCACGGGACTGGGGTTGAGGGATTCTACGAGGAAAGGTAAGATTTTATTTGCTGTTTCCAGGGAGACAATAAGAGACGAGACATGACATGTTAGAAATGTATTTAGAAAGCCGCCCACCCTACTTATTTGCTGAACGGGATTTTTTTTTAAATGAAATATGTGTCATTTTAGATCCTTATGACGAAGTGGCAGTCTATCAAAGTTCAGCGTTTTTGTACTTTGAATCGCCTATAACTCAACAACCAATCATCAGAAAACTGTAGTGTGTTATATCGATCTCCTTCTTTAGGATAGTTCTATCAGAATATGCCACAAGGCATAACTCTTACCATATCAAAAAAATTGCCCATCCACGTAGACTGCAGACCCTTCCAAAAGAAGAGGGTTAGTATAGCATATTATAACATTTTGATGATTAGTTGTTGAGTTCAATATACAAATATATATAACTTTGACTGATTTTCAGTCCGCCACCTCGAAAGTTATTTATTTTTTTAAGCAAATAAGTTTTATAAAAAAAATCAATAAACCGGTTTCATCTGTGATGCTTTGGTTGAGAGCCAACATCAATGGCATTTTTCTATGGAAGTTGGAAGTTTGCTCATCCAAACCAAACCACCGCTCGTCACAAGAACAGACCTATCGCAATGGTGTCTGTAGTCAGCAAAATTACAGAGCACGACAAATCAATCTTCACTTTGGGTGGGTAATCAGAGTCCAGATAGAAATGACGATTTTCTGCATTGAACCTCTCTCTCATATCGACAACAGGTCAGTAACTAGGCCCTCCTTGAATGATATGTTAATGGACTTTACCCCTCCGATTTCTCCCTCAAGCTTTCTAGGTTATGTGCATTGAGATCACCAACTGGTCATTTGTTCTTAGGGTGTGTAGGATATGGAACAATTTACTAGCAGAACCTTACCCCAATTATATTTGGTCTTTTAAACTTCTGAACAGTAAATAAGATTTGTCAGTTACTTCAATATCCTTTACTTTTTTTAAGGACAAACACTTATGACTTGATTTTATCAGATCACGTAATCTTTAGGTCAAAGAAGTCACTAGGTATACATAGTCTATGGACAAGAACCAAGAATTCGACAATCTATATTTTATGAAACCTCCAAAAAGTCAGAAATCATGTTTTCGTGACTGTGAAAAATTCAAAAAGCAATACTTGAAGAACATTCGAATGTCATCATGAAGAACGAGATCTTACTTGTTGATAATCCTGCTCCGTGTAAAAGAGGTTGGTCGAAATCGGCTTTTTCTCACCCATCATCATTGGTGAAAATGGAACGCTTAAATTTTGTCCATTTAATTGTATTTACATCATGCCTTAAATCCAATTATTAATTATTGTTTAAAATACTTAAAATTCAATAAACGTGCCAAATTTGTAGGTTTTTCTTTATACTTTTTATATTTTATTTTTTATCAACTTATTGGATATGTAAAAATATTTGAACTAATAGTGTAAACTTAAGCTTTCAATTTTCATGAATAATAGTTGAAAAAAGACTTATATTTACTACTACTACTTTAATTGGTATGCATATATTTTTCTAACGATATTGAGAAATATCTTATTGGAAATGTATGTATGTTTTTCATTTCGAACATCGATTTTCAGGTGGATCAGCTCACCAACTTCCCACCCATACTTCCCATTGCCCTTCCCGACGACGAAGTTCAAACGCCTCTGACTGTACTCATCGATCGAGGACCAGAAGAAGAGAGTGTCCTCACGCCAGAGGACAGCTAGAACGTGCTATCAGTTCAGACTCAAGGTATGAATTTATTCACTTTTACAATGCTGGTGAATGCGCATACTTTATGGTACATGACGCATCTACCATTTCTATCAAACACAACAGGGGGTTAGTTGAATATCAATGAATGGAGACAGGTAGGTCGACTCCGCACTACTTAAGCATATCCCCTCAGCAACAGCAACGAGCTTGCGAATGGTTGCTTGTACGATCTTTCCCAGCCCCTGCAAACTCCTTGAATAGTTTTCGCTACGTAAAAAATGTCAAAATGGACTCGAGCACCTGATAGGTGAAAAAAAAACGAAACTTGAGCGATTCTTGTGTCTTTTTGGTTTTTGCCCCGAGCTACAACGCTGCTGAAAACCTACAAATATCCTTTGTCCTTGACACCTGATGTCATGTCATGAAACATCCAAATCTAACATAATATCTATTATTCGAAATTCGCCGATTAGCCCTGTCGGACTTTATGCAGGGTGTCCCGAAAAAAGTGTGCAATATTCTACCAGCGGTTTCTAGAGCTTAAAATAGGAAGAAAAGTTTATATAAACATTGGTCGACAAACGTCCCTTAAGGGCGGTCTTTAAAGGGGCTCCCCTGAAAATGGTTTTTCCTTAATATTTCCGAAACGTGTTGAGATAAAGACATAAAATTTGATATTCTAGCCTAGTTTTTGTGTTATTCTATTTTTGAAATTCAATTTTAGAATTTGAAAATTTAGGGTTTTCTACATAAAAAAGGTACTCTTATTGAATATCGATAAAATCAAACTAAAAAATTTGTCACATGATAGGAAATGTACTGCGAATTTAAATGAATTGTTGATTATACATAGTTAGCCATGACTGCAAACAAAAGTTGTTTTGATTTATTATGACTTATTTTGACGATAAGCTGACATTGTTAGACGTGTAAAATTACTAGATTGAAATCAAAATTTTTATTAAATCGATTTAAAATGCCAAGATTTACAGACAGAGAACTGACTGACATGCATTTTGTGTACGGGTTTGCAATGGCAGTTCATTGGCAGCCGTAAGAGAATATCAAAGAAGATTTCCCAATCGCATAGTACCTGGACGTCGAATGTGAAATTTGTCAAACCATGGAAGTTTACAGCACATGCAGGGCTCAGGAAGGCCACTGGGAAATCATAGTATGGATATTGCTTCAAATATGTTTGAAAATAATCCGCAAATAAGCATACGAAATGTTTCAGAAAATATGGATATACCTCGATCAATACTAAGAAAAATGTGTATTTGATAGTTATCCTAAAAATAATAATTTTAGATAGGAAGAATGACAAGAATGCAAGGATTACGTCCTTATCATTTTAGACGGGTGCAGCATTTAACGGAGGCGGATTTTTTTACTACGAATCGAGTTTTGCAGTGGATATTGGCAAATGAAAACACTATTCCTAGAATATTATGGTCGGATGAGTCAATATTTACTAGGCATGGTGTTTTTAATTTCCATAAAGTGCATCACTGGTCAGATGAAAATCCAAAAGCTGTTCGCCGTACAAATTTCCAACATAGATTTTCATTGAACTTGCATGGAGTAATTGGGGATCAAGTAATTGGGCCTATTGTACTTCCCAATCGTCTTAATTCAGAGGTGTATCTGAACTTTCTTCTTTCTTGGATATAATACCATTGGATGTGCGCCAGCAGTTTCAAGAAAATATGTTTTCTCAACATGATGGCTTCCCTGCACATTCTGGACGCAATATTCGAAATTGGTTGAATGTCAATTTTCCAGACAGGTGGTTAGGCCGAGGAGGTCCTATAGCGTGGCCGCCACGTTCACCTGACTTAAATCCATTGGATTTCTATTTTTGGGGGTCATTAAAAGACCTAGTTTACTCGACTGAAGTAAATACTCAAGAAGGTTTACTTCAAAGAATCCATCAGGCTGCAAATGAAATAAGAAGAAAAAGGTTTTCCACTTTTCGGGCTACGCAATCGTTAGTTCGTCGAGCGAGACTCTATTTCCAACAAAATGGGAATTTATTTGAACACTTATTGTAAAGCTAGTTTTAAGTATATCCAACTGTAGGTCTTCTTTTTTAAACAAATTTCAATTTCGTTCGTAGAAAAAATTTATTTCTTTTGTTATTGCCTGAATGTTAGCTATGTTGCAATAGAAATATTATTCATCAATTCATTTAAATTCGCAGTACATTTTCTATCATGTGACAATTTTTTTAGTTTGATTTTATTCAAAAATGGTACAATTTATCGATATTCAATAAGCGTACCTTTTTAATGTAGAAAACCCTCAATTTTCAAATTCTAAATTGAATTTCAAAAATAGAATCACACAAAAATTTTGGGGCTCAAATAACCTGAGTCCGTCCCTGTTACATACGCTTCCAAACAAAACTGTCTAAAATTGTTAATATTTTTAAATCCAGCATAAAAAACTAGGCGATAGACGATAAAATCAAGCTTTCGGCATTCTCTATGGGGCCTTCATTAGGATTCTGAAAACACAATTGTGATGCTAGCTAAGAATACAGGACAGATTTAAATTTTTGCTAGCATCACAACTGTGTTTTCAGAATCCTGATGAAGGCTCCATAGAGAATGCCGAAAGCTTGATTTTATCGTCAAAAGAGTCAACTTAAGCCTAAAAATTTGCCAATTTCAAAATTAACAATTAATTGTATTTTGTGCCCAACTGGTCGTTGGCTTTGGCGATGACTAATTCTCATATATATATATATATATATATATATAACGACATATATATATAATCTTATATAAACTTTCACAACACTTGACAACACTTCTTGTCTCTCTCCATGTTAGCAAGGCATGCGACACCATAAGCCACGATATGCTTATAGCCAAGTGTACTTATTTTGGATTTTATCAACCGGCACTACGCTTTCTACCGTCATATCTAAAAGACAGACAGCAACAGGTAGTTCTAGGTACAGGTATTTCTAATTTAAAGAATGTTCCTTCAAGGGCACCACAAGGTTCACTTCTAGGGCTACTCTTGTTCTTAATATATACATTCGATTTGGTTGTCAAACTTAAAAAGTCAATTATTGTTAAGCTTTTCCCCTGATGATCTTAAAATGGCTGAAGCTAAAATCAATATTGATCTCGAAATTATTAATAACTATTCTGCCATTAATAACATGAAATTCGGTCAAGAAAAGTGCAGACATATAGAATTAAACCTGCTGGACCTGAAACTAGGCAGTACAGGCTTAAAATTCAATAATGTGTGCAAAATTTTTGATCTAATCATAGACGAAGACCCAACTTTTAGTTTCACTTAATCTTTGTAAAACAGATTTTATTTGTACAGTAACACTGAGATTTTATTTTTTTAAATTTTGAAATATTGGTTGAGTAGATTGGTCAACGGCTAGACTCCGCCATGAGCATCAAACTTTTATGTTGTCATATATCTCTGACGCATTTAACGTTATCCTGATCGTTGAATAAAATCACAGATGTAAATTGAACAAAGCTATCGTTTCATCTCTTACGTTGCACTTTGAAAAAGGCCCCAAAGTAACCGAAATTTCGATATATTTCTTAATCCCTCACATATGCCATTTTATCCATCGGCCACTATTACCTAGAAGTCATTCGTGTTCAATCTGAAACGTGAGTGAAGTCTTTCCAAAAACAGTACATTTATATTTGACCAACCACAACCACACGAAATTCACTATATTCACTATGAAAATGAGTATTTTCTTCTTTCCTTACCCCATTTTGAAGGTTTACTTATTTTTTATATGATTTTAGTCTTCATTAAAAAAACGAGTATTTACTTGCCGTACGACAAAAACCTTTTATTTCCGCGAGTAAAGGCGCCATATACATTTAATTAGAGCAACTGTCACCTCGTCAGTATTGCTATATGTACTTCCTGACAATACTTGAGTTGTGTAATATTAGTGATAACTTATTTTACATCTCATGTAGATTGACGGGGGCAATTCCAAAATGCTACCACCATCATCAGCATACACCCCAACCCACCCCAACTCAAACGTCAACAGAGCAGGACCCAGGGGGATCAGGTTCTGAGTCCGAACTGAGACAAATGACAACGCACACTACCGTAGTGCAAGTCAGTCCTACCAGGAATTAAACCCTTTCGTATGCAAACAGTGTAGAGGAAACCAAATTGTAGGTGAAGTAGTGCAAGGCGTTGGCCAGTCAATTTGTACAAATAACGAAAGATGTTAGGGGGATGATTTCAACAACACGGTTTGACTGGTACTGTCAATTATTGTTATTTGGTGCATTCAAACTTTAATGGGGTGAAGCTTGAAGTGGTATAAAAATGCATACTCAAAAAGTATACGTACTTGTAATTTATAAAGGTTTTGAGTCATCAAGTTTTCGTTGACAAATGCGGGAATTTCGTATACAATAAATGTAGACAAGTTTTGTGTAAAGAGTCCCACAGTTCTCAGTAGTGGAAGATACATTGTTGTATTGTGATCTTGACTTTGGCAATATATTTTATAAATAGAACAAGGTAAGTCGTGTCTTGCTGCATAATCGTCAATCATCGAATTGGCTCTTTTCAAAAAGATCGATCCCCTTACTTACTACTTCGATTAGTCAAGGTAGTAAGCTGAGATTGGGAATCATGTAATTGCCACATAAATACCAAGATGGTGGCTGGGCACTCGTCAGTTCGACATTTTGATCGACAGTCAATTTATTCTGTATGGTTACGGACCATCGCCAAGGAGTTTCAAAATCTCGTGACACCAACTTCTACTTGAAAAAGGTCATCATCATCTTGAGATGTTCTCTCACTTCTACGCTGAATTTAAGCTTGCTAATTTAACCCAATCAGAAAATAAGTAGAGCATAAGCACTGTGAACTCCGGCAAGCACTGAATGTAAGTCAAACTGACTCCAGAGGATCACTTTAACGAAATAAGAACAGGCAGTAGAGGTACTGTCAAAAAACAATGCACCATTATTGTCTAGCCACTGAATGAAACCACATATTATGCACGAGATCTCGGCTACCACAGTAACCTTTTTCAATTATAATTGTGAAAAGTAATTCAAGCGTATGTGATTTCATTTAGCAACCTAACAATCTTGGAGTGATGTCAGCATGAGTTACAGATGTTACATTAAGAAAACAGTTTACAATAGTCTATGCCACCGCGATTGCTTGACTCATTTTAAGAAATAAACTCCTGTTTTTGAAAATCATTTCCCTAATTTCGAATAGAAAATGTAATGCCTTGCAATAAAAGTCCTCATGCATAGATAAAATAGGGATCAATGGTTATACTGGTATCGGTTTTTTATAGGGAAATCGATAAATATCCCCGTATGTAAACATTATTGTAACTTCAAGTAGGACTTTGTTATCTAGACTACCATGTCTTGAGTGTTTGGTAAAAAACCCTTTAAGACTGTCTGAAAATGATTGTTAGTTTTCCCCAGTATCATATAAAATTGCAGGAATATAGATAGCTGAGTTCTACGTGAAAAACATAGAGAGAAAACTAATGGTTGTTCTACGAAGGTACTTAAAAATGTCAATGGATTTATCATCGATTCTTTTCAATCAGCATCTACTGGCATCTTGTTTTTCTTTGTATTCATAATTAATTAGTCGAATAATATTATGTTATTTATTCCCCACGTTTCATAAACCTGCACTTCTTTCTGATGACCAAACGACCCTGAAAGTGAGCTTAAGGTCATACTTGAAGCTAAATTTCTGGTCGGCAAAATCGTCAACATAACAAAACAACATTACACATACACTTGATCAATTTGGTTTTGGATCATTTTCGGGTGCAACGTGTAACCAAGAAGTTTCTATGAACATTAAGACTTCAATACGCTTTCTGTAACGTAATTAATTCGTTCAGTGATTCAAATAAATCAGCAGAAATGATCAAAGTTACAATTTGTAGGCAAACTGAAGCTCCCACCACTGTGTACTACACATTCTAGTTGACCATTTACATACACTGCCTTGATTTAGCTCTATGGTTGCAAATCTCCCTGACTATATCGGTTCCGGATGATATAATTCTATTGAACTCGGATGTTTCCAGCTGGCAGGATATCTAAACGACCTCAAACGAGCAACAGGTCGAATTTGCACCTCATACGTTTTCCCTCATTGTATTTTACCATGCTCTAGATACCCTATAGCGTTAATATGAGACACGGCATTGGATGCGAATAGCAATATCGTTTCACCAATTCGTAGCTTTGTGTGCAGGATGTTACCGAGAGTATTTACACAGCTGAAGCGTCATAAAGAGTACAAACGTCAACACTAGCACATGAATCACACAACGCTTAGCATAACTTCGAGACAGTGTTGCCATTTATACTACCTCCGATACTTTGACTGTGATAAGAAATGAGCTCAGCATCGTCTATTGACTATAATAGAGATATAATTGACAGATGATAAGCCATTGACAATTTTAGTATCAGATCAGCAATAAGATGTTGATGAAAAGTGCCAAAATGACACAAAAGAAATAGGCCTCAATATGTATTATAGTTGTTTTATAATATATGTGAAAAGTATTAGACAATCCAAATGTATACGTTGTTCCTTTACCTTTATCAACAAATTCAGTGTTTTCTTGATCCCTTCCTATGAACAAATAATTATAAAATGTGTAACATTTTCCTCTGAAAGATGTATCAATTCTGAAGCCAATTTTGAAGCTCAAAATATTGTTAATATCTTACGAAAAGCGGAAGAACCGTATGTAAAATAATATTATTATGTCAGAAGATCATTAGACACATTCACATATAGATTAGGGATACTGTGATCAGTGATAGTTTGGATTCAGTAGTTGCTTAAAGAACTTGGCATTTTTATGATTGTTTAAAAATGTTTAATGTCCCCCCTGCAACATGGATCCAATCAGATTATTTGGTCAAGTTCCTAAGTAACCCTAGTTTACATTTGATCGTTTATTCTTATGATTTTCGTTCAACACGTTTACTTTTCCAAGGGTCATATGGGGAACTTTTGTTCAATCTCCAATGACATAGATGGAGAATCAAAGACTCATTTTAATTGCTTTTCTGTAAACCTTTCTGGTTATTAAATACAGAACGCGTCAATTTTAATAAATGCAGGCATGCTGGTAATAAACATTTTGCTTAGGTCTGTGTTTTCAGAAAAACTAGTAACACTTGATTCTTATTTTCATATTTTCCACATTTGTGATTAACTATTTAAATACGTAAAAATCTTTAGCAGATACGAAAAGGAGTATTTATGAACTTTCCAGAACTGCCATCAACTATTTTTTTGCCTTAGTTTACATGCCAAAAATCGAAAAAGTAATTTTGTCATCCCTTAGAAGTGAACGTGTATGTAATCTTCCATATTATACAAGAAATGTTAGCCTGAAATGTATTTTATATCACTTCCTATACTCTTCAACGTGTTCACATACCTTGATGAGACTTTAATACGTAATCTTCTTTTGTACCATATCATTGCGCCTTGTCTCTCGCCTATACTCATATGACTAATTGTATAAGTTCGTGCACACATTGAGGAGTATTTCCACAAAAAAGACTTTTTCATACAGAAGCAATCACGACCCTTAGTTCAGGGCAGATCTAAATGAAAATTTCTAAGCCAAATGAATGTGATTAATGTTCGAAATAGTATATTTATATAGAAACGTATTTACATGTTTTAGCGACTAGTTTTCACGAGATGTAATTATTGTATTGTTATCAATAAAATGTCCAGTGTTTTCATTTTATCATTTAAACACCTTGCATCATTATCCACCAACAATGGTAATAAATCTCCGGGTCTTACTGGCCGCTAAATAAAGCCACATATGTAGAACATATGTAGAACTGAAACCAAATCTAAAAGTTTTTTATCGCTTTGTGTTATCTATGTATATTGTAACGAAAATACCGTCTTTACCGACCAAAGACTAATTTATTATTCTACACTAATTTGTAACACTTGCAACTAATTTATAATAGATTTATAGCTATGCTGACTGGACTATTAATCCATCTCAACTTTGCGCTCGTTATCCACCGACTCGACTGTGTCTGTAGACTGAACTGTGACTGACTGCTTCCGCCATCTAGTCTGGTATTTATTCCCCTATCGACGAGTTGAGAACCATTCCACAGTTTTCCAGTCTAAGTCGTGAACTCCTATGGAAGTAGTAAAGATGTCAGCAGATCCATCTACAGACGAGACGAATACTCGCGGTCCAGAATGCAATCATGCTCCAAATATGATCGCGTAATTCTGGTTGTTGTCTAAGCAACAATCCCACTTCTGGCCACCTGTCGAATCTTCTAGTTGATGTACGAGAGTGTCTGTTGTATAGTTTTTGGAATTAAATTCCATTTACGTTCCGGCAAAACATAACACTAGCGCGCGACGTTCAAATTCGCGCTCTTCTATTGGCTAGCACGCCACAAGTGCTTGGGTATGCGCCGACAAGCGAATAGAAGGGCCGACCGAGTGCCCGCGTTAGTTTTGACGCGTAAAGCAAATGAGGTTTGAATAGTGTTTACCTGTTTTTTTATCATCTGAGACATATTTCAAGTGCAGTCTGTACTATTTTACTACACACGTAACATTACTGTAACTTCTTTGATAAGTTCAATAGCATTATACGCTATCAGGTTCGTTAACCTTGCGATCTGAAGTTGATCGATTGATAAAAATGAACTAGCATTATCGTTGAAATATAAAAAGTTCACACGTATAATTAATCACGAAGTAGTTAAGGAGTCATGTGACAGTAAAAATATTGTAATAAGTCTGAATGAATAAAAATACAGGACAAATAATTTTTAGCTGTATTTCTATTTATCTATACATGAAATCAATTGACGTACATACTTTCATAGGCGTCGGTGAACTGCTTACCACGTAAAGGTGTGACAGATTACATGCAAATGCGACATATTCTGTCGACCCTTTTGTCCTTAGTGTCACCACGTCCTTTACATCTATCCTACCAATTACCAAGGGCGCCTGCAGAAATTTTTCCAAAGGTGCAAATAAAATATGGATGCTTGTTATACTAAATAAACATATCTTGATGATTCCTGGAGAAAAAACAGATACACCACACACATGTTCTTTACTTCAATAAATTTTTTTGACAAGTGTCACACTGATAGTGAAACAAAGCCTACCAACAGAGCATACCTGATAGGTAGTCGTCTCTGTGAATGTACAATATACTTGGAACCGCAAACCAGGGGTGATACGTTAGTTAGTTTATTGGCATTTGACGATTTCCTAAAAACTGGAGTTTTGCCTTCGAAATTTTTTTCAAACTATATACCTTTAAATTAAATTTCTGAGGCCACTGAAGTTGGAAGGTACTCTATATTGATATATTCTAGTTGCTGACATAATGATTTATAAAATCTAAATACAGTATCTTTTCTAATGCCGTATGTCCTAATGTTTTGACACAAAATTAATTGGCCTCAATTTTAACAAATACAAAATATATAAAGTTGCCCTTGGAAACCAAAGTTTGCTTACTTACTTTACTGTCAGTTGACATTTATATATTTTGACGTTTTCGCTTTAGATGTATAAATTAGACATAAGAAAAAGTATCTACAAGTGGGCTGGAAGGGTATCCAAAGAAGAACCATTTATCGAACAGCAGCGGAGTGCGAGCAGGAAATACCATATCTGAATCTCCCAAAAAGTGGAAGACCACGTATATTTACGACACAGAGGTCAGGGAGACTGGTGACAAGAGCAAAAAAGCAGGTTGGAATGTCCACAAGGAGAATGGCTCATTAATACAGATCTTCTAAGAGTACGATATCGTTGCAAGTGAGGTGGAATGGTCTTAAATATCGAAAGAGACTAAACATAAGTGCCCAAATACTCTCAAGTGTAGCTCCTTCGTCAACTTAGGCGGCTACACTTTGCCAATGGAAAAATGATTATTTGACGCAATCTGATTCAAGCATCAACTTGTTTTATATTATAGGTTTTACCAAGGATGTATAATATAATATATAGTTTTAAAAAACATAATATGTCTATATGTATCTGTAGTTAACGTTTAACTTTTCTCTTGCTGTTATTATTATTACTGATATACTACTTTACTTTTTTTTTGGGTTAGGTGGAAGAGCGCGGATTGACAACTAAAGGTTGTTAATCATGCGAACCTTGCCGTTTGCTCACTGCATCAGATTTATGTACTTTTTTTTCTGTACTTACATGAGGAATAAAAAAATTTATTATTATTTTATTATTATTATTATTATTATTATTATACGGGCAACGTAGAGGGATGCCCTGACAATGTTAGATACAAACATAAAGTGAAATTTGCAGATAAAATCCTAATCTGGTGCGCAATTTCTAACAGGGGTGTATCACAACCTTTTGTGGAAGAGGGAAGGGTGAAGCTTGGATAGTCAGAGCTATATTGATAACTGCCTTTCCAAACTGCTTAGGTTTGTCCGCAAACTTCTTGATAATGACCATATCAAGTTTTGGCCAGACCTAGCATCATGTCATTACTCAGAGATACCGACTTCGACTACACACATACCTACGAAAAACTGAGAGAAGTTGATCTAAATTCCGTCCAGGATCTCATGAAAGAAAGTTGCGTCTCGTAGAGCAAAATGGGACACTCTACATAATTCGATAGTATAGTTTAGCTAAGTATTGCAAGAGTTGTAATTTATGATATCTAGTTAGTGGTTAAATAAATTTCTTCAATGAAAAAGATCCGATAAATATTTTGTGCTAAAATTTTCAGGACATACGTTATCAAAAAGTGCACTTTCCCATAACCGTTCACCAACGCCTTTATTCCCTTCCTGTACCACCTCACCCTACCACCCTGATTCGTCATTGTTGTACGCGACGGTATCGTCGGTCTCCAAAGAAACGCGTCGACGCCTGTTGACTGGACGTCGCGGCGCCCATCGATGCCACCGGTCAGTCGTGGCAGTGCGAAGTCCGAAAGAACAAGGGTCCAACCTATAGGGCTGAAGTCCGAGCCATGGGGTGCGCCAGCAGCGGGCCTGTCATGGAAGCGGGCAAAGGGGCCGTCGATCAGGCATCGCATACTGTGTCGGATGCTTTGGCCACTACGGAAAAGGCTATCCAAGGTCAGTGATCCATCATTCCCAATGGTATCGTAAATTTGGGTGGCCACCCTTATTCATGAATCATCTTGTAGTGTAAATTATTTGTGTATTGTGACACGGATAGACGATTATATTTCACACCTACTGTAGCGGTTGTAGTCGAAGAACGATGGGTGATCAAACATTTGTGGCCACTTTTTTGGCCAAAATCCAAATGGGGGATCATCAAACCTCGTCAAAATCCATTACTCAAGGTATGCGAAACATTAAAAATGCTATAAATATGACTTGTACTGTCTCTGCTAGTCTGGTCGAGTAGCGCAATGCTAATTTGCTTCAGCTCGATGTTCAATGTTCGTGGAACCTGCGGCATTTCCATTGTAACTTTCGAAGCTCACCCACTAGCTGTCTTTTTATTCTTCGCGTTCCCTCTAACCGTTAATTTAGCATCTTTGGCAGGGTGTCCATTTTTACTCATTGTTTTGTCGGTAATTTTTACACATTAATTTTCTGAAATGCTTATTTTCTTATTATTTCCGATGTCTCTCGATACAGTGAGCCTAGGCACTCAGTCCCAAAAAATGTTTCACAGTCGATTTGGTGTATCCTAGAAGGTGAAAGCAGCCCCTCCCACTGTACTTTAATTTTCGATATAGCGATTGAAAAGTTTTCATAGATATCAATACAATAAGAGATGTGCTGCAAACAGCTCAATTTTTCTTCCAAAATACTTGTTTCTCTCATTTTTTGCGAACTTCACTAGAAACCCTGATTCTACAGTTTAATCGCTGATTGACCAATAAAAATATTATTGATAAATCTCCTAATCAAAGGACGACAAACTTTTGTCCAGATCTTATTTTGACGTGGTATCTTGGTTACCTCTAGGTTTGACTAACGATTCAGTCAAAATCCAAGACCAAGAGATTTTCGAAATTTGATCAAACCAGTCTGGTCACCCTTTGAATGGACTATTCGTGGTGTACAGTACTCGAGACTGCCTGCATGTCATTTACTTATCGTGACAACTTGCTAGTATACCTATACTTTACTAGACATGTGGATCAATATACAGACCCGTCGATTTCATTTTCGAGGGGGACACAAGTTTGGCAAAAAATCACGTTAACACGTGCAGCCCCCTGGGCGGGGTGACACCAACCCTAAATCTTAAATGGAAAGGGGGGTCCAGTGATACCTTATTTTAAAGGTCTTTCAATTCCCTTTATAATGATGTAAAATACATGAGCTTCAGTTCAGTAGTTTTGAAGATTTATTGATTTAAAGCTTAAAGTAGACTTTAATAGGTACATCAGATTAGTTTGTACTACTTTCAGAAGAAATTTGACTAAAAGAATTTACTTAATAAGTAAATGCTTTTCTTCACTACGCCCATGGTTTGTTTATCATTTTTTGTTGAAAATAGCTATTGGAGCGTTTTTTTGTGGCAAAAAAGTTATTTCTTGAAGAAAGATAAGGAAATATCTCGTACTTATTTAAATAGGAATTTAGTACATAGTTTGCGATTGATTTGACCAAACTTTGTTGCTAAAATAACTTGTAACGCTTTATTACATAAATTAACCATGGTATATTCCACAGCAGAAAGAGTGAAATTATCGAATATTTTTCGGAAATAATCAGTGCGCTAATAGAACAGCAGAAATATTTAATGAGCCTGAGAACAGTAACGTGCATCGAAAATATGTTCTAGAACTTGTAGCTAAATTTCGGGAAACTGGGTCAGTCGCCAATAAAAAACGCAACATTGAAAATCCCATAAGGAACGAAGCAATAGAAGTGGGGTTTTAGGGCAAGTTTATGTAGATCCTACGTTAAGTACCCGCAAATTGGAGACTGTGTGTGGTGTTAGTCGACGTACTGTCCAACGGATTCTAAAGGCCCATAGTTTTCATCCGTATAAAATTCACCTGGTACAAGAACTTAATGAAGACGATTTTGATGCGGCGATTACAATTTTGTGAAGATATGAGTGAACGAATTATAAACGATGAACATTTTCTATTCAACACTTGCTTTTCCGACGAATGTTCCTTTTTCTTAAATGGCGTAGTAAATCGTCATAACTGCCGATATTGGTCATGAGGTTCATACACAGCAGCCACAAAAATTAAATGTTTGGGCTGGTATTTTTGGCATCATTTGTTGGTCCTTTTTTCTTACCTGGAAATTTGACCGGTGAAATGTATTTGGAATTACTGGAAGACGCCATAGATCCTGCATTAACAGCCATATTGAAAATCAGAATGATCGGCGGTACATTGCGAATAGGTTGATGTTCCAACAGGATGGTGCCCCACCACACGCATTACGTGTTCGACAATATTTAGATCAGACGTTTCCAGATCGATGGATTGGTAGAAGAGGTGCCATTGAATGGCCCCCAAGATCGCCAGATTTATCACCTTTGGATTTCTTTATGTGGGGTCATTTAAAAAGCAAAATCTATGCTACTCAGCCAACATCATTAGAAGACCTGCGAAGAATTGTGAATGAGTGCCTTCAAATTACTCCTCAAATATTGCAAAATGTGCGGCAACGTTTTGAGCAAAATCTTATTATTGCATGGAGAGTCATGGTGGCCATTTTCAACATTTACTTGCCTAACGGGTCAGTTCATTCTTCATTTTTAAATTACTTTGCTGCCAAATGTATTGATCCCACTAATGATGATGTATTAGTTTTATTTAAGCTTTAAATCAAATAAATCTTCAAAACTACTGAACTGAAGTACATTAATTTTATATCATTATAAAGGGAATTGAAAGACCTTTAAAATAAGGTATCACTCGACCCCCCTTTCCATTTAAGATTTTGGGGGGGTCACCCCCGCTTAGGGGGCTGCACGTGCTAACGTGATTTTTTGCCAAACTTGTGTCCCCCTCGAAAACAAAATCGACGGGTTGAGCGTTTTTAAAAAAAAACTGAGCTGCCAGTAAATGCGTCTGTTTTGTTTTCGATGCGCCACCCTGTATGGTATCTGAACGAAAAACATTGTCATGATAATAAGAAGATACAAAATAGTTTTCAAACTATTCCGATCCAGAAAGATTAATAAAAGAATTAATTTTATGTAAAATATATGTAGCTGAGAAATACTCGTAGTAGCGTTTCTGTGATCACGGTTTCATGCTTTCCTATACATAACAAATACCTTGTAATTATTGGACATACGGTTTGCGAGGCACATATAGTCTGTAGTACGCTTTATCATCATACAACTGTTGCCATCAGACGTCATTTGGAGTCTCTGAGTGTCATTTTCATCTATATCTACTCTTGTATGTATCAACGGGTACCTATTTTGGGAAACCTATTGTCACGTGTACTGTGTAGTGTCATGTGCACTGAGCACGTAGCTATTGAACATGTTGGAAATGGGCATTGTCTTCAATGTGATTTTGGCCAAACATGCTGAGCATCAATTTTTATCCGTATATATCACATTATCATCTTATGATTAGAAATAATAGT